CCCTTCACCATGCCTCAGTGGATAATGCAATAAAGATGATCAAGTTCACAGGGCACGGAGCTCGGCTCTCCAAAGCGGACATTACCGATGCCTTCAAATCATCCCCATTCATCCGTCTCAGTGGAACTTGTTTGGTATTAAGTGGGAGTCCAAACTCTATCTTCGCCGTTCGCCTGACCTTCGGGTGCAGAAGCAGCCCCCGCATCTTCAATTCCTTCTCGGAAGCGCTCTATTGGACCCTGCTGAACATCGTCATAATCCCCTCCGTCCTTCACCTACCGGACGACTTCCCCCCCATAAACCCGCCACAGGACAGCTCAGGGATCTCACTGGCCAAGCTTAAACACTGCTTCAGGAGTGAGGTATCCCTCTCTCCAAAGAGAAAACGTTAGGTCCCGACACACGCTTAGAGTTCTTAGGCATCATCCTCGACTCCATAGACATGAAGGCGTCTCTCCCCTCCGACAAATTGCAGCGCATCCGGGACATCACCAAGTCATACTGCGAGCAACAAGTTATCACAAAACAACAGTTGCTCTCCCTTCTCGGACACCTCAACTTCGCCATGCACGTCATCCCCCAGGGGCGCTCGTTCATCTCCCGCCTCCTGGACGCAGCATCAGCGGTGACAACCTCCATGACTGCGTTTTCTTAGACGAAGGCTGCCGCTCAGACCTTCGGTTCTGGTCCCTCCTGCTCGCCCACTGGAACGGAGTTACTTTCTTTTACGATGGCCTCGTGCGTTCCTCTGACTCAATGAGGTTCTTCACGGATGCCGCCCATCCATGGGTTTTGGGGGTTTCTTCCAGGGAGAGTGGTTCTCAGGGTCATGGCCCCGTCAATTTCTACCTCAAGCAAGTTCTCATTAAATCTGGCCTATCACCCATATCATACCCGGGGCATTCCTTCAGGATAGGTGCAGCCACCTCTGCTGCTAATCAAGGTCTCTCTACCTCATCCCTACAACAACTAGGACGGCGGTCCTCCTCCGCCTTCACAACCTACCTTCGCCCGGACATCAGCGCCGTACGGGCTTCCCAAAGATCTCTCAGACCCTAACTATGGTATCTATGCATATAACTGGTGGTGGCTCATAAACACATTCATAAGTATACATGTCTCACTAAGGTACCTGATATTCAAACTGCATTCCCGTCCTAGTCCGCGGGCCCCGCCCACAGGGAATAACGTCTCGTCTCACGCGCACCTACACGTAACGGGCTTCATCTCCTGGACACAGGTATCCAAATCCCAGTTCCTTGCTCAAATGTGTCAGTGTAAAATGTATATCCTGCAAAGTCAGGTGCGGACTCAGGCCACCGCACACTTCGGTGTCAGTTACAAAACAAAGAAAATAAAGAAAGAGGAAAAAGTAAAGAAGAAAAAGATATATCCTGCGAAGTCAGGCGTGGACTCGGGCCACCGTACACTTCGGTGTCGTGGCTCCGGGCCACCGTACACTTCGGTGTCGTGGCTCCGGGCCACCGTACACTTCGGTGTCAGTTACAAAAGAAAGGAAATAAAGAAAGAGTAAAGAAGGAAAAGATAAAGATATATCCTGTGAAGTCAGGCGTGGCTGAAGGCCACCGTACACTTCGGTGTCAGTTACAAAACAAAGGAAATAAAGAAAGAGGAAAAGAGTAAAGAAGGAAAGATAAAGATATATCCTGCGAAGTCAGGCGTGGCTGAAGGCCACCGTACACTTCGGTGTCAGTTACAAAATAAAGAAAGAGTAAAGAAGAAAAAGAAAAAAAATAAATATATATATATCCTGCGAAGTCAGGCGTGGCGGAAGGCCACCGTACACTTCGGTGTCGTAGCTTCGGGCTACCGTACACTTCGGTGTCGTGGACGTTGGGCCACTGTACACTTCGGTGTCAGTTACAAAACAAAACCGTTCGACCTTCGGGCGGCGTAGTCAAGCCCTGCTAGCCAGGCAAGCGACCCGCAGGTTGTTTTCAGATAAGACCGGCACTGATTTCGGCAGTCAGAGTCTCAGCATGACCCGTAAGCTCCGGCAGTGATTCCGGCCCAATGTCGCTTACATATGTTAATCTATTATCTTTCATTCCCAGATCACCAGTCACCCCACAAGGTAAGCAACTCATCTCAGTATTTCATACTTCACTGGTTTTGGGGATTTCATCGGAGCGGTTCTTTCCCTCCTGAATGATTATCCTGCAAACCGGGGCCTAATCGCCAAACACCATTACATTATCCTGTTGTATTATCATGGCAATCATTTCATTCATATGACGTGTAAACAATAAATATGTAATTCTTACATCACGTCTCTCCGGTTTGAACTATTTTTGTCGTGCTGACATGGGGGTTTAAATTGCCATGCCTCTTTTTGTCTTTCGAGCCCGTCTCAGGATTAATGCCCAGGAAGCACCTGAAAACAATAAGCCAAGACAACAATTTACATTTTACAAAGATTTATATGTTGCATCGTTTATTTGAAGGCAGATGCAGCGATGCCCCTTTCAATTTAAGTAAAACCTGCACCAAAGAAATAAATTAGTATTTAAAGCCAAGCAAGAGCGATAAAAGCAAGAAAATCACTTAATTAAATGCCCATATCAAACCTCCCATTTCTAGGTAAAATCATTGAAAAAATTTTTTTTCAACAGTTGAGTAATTTCTTGCATTTAAATAACTGTTTCGATGTGTTCCAGTCAGGCTTTCGTCCAAACCACAGCACTGAGACTGCTCTTGTAAAGGTCTTTAATGACATCCACTTAAACACAGACAGTGGCAGAACTTCAGTGTTAGTATTATTAGATCTCAGTGCATATTACTAGACCGACTGGAAAACTGGGTGGGACTTTTGGAAACAGTTCTAAATTGGTTTGAATCCTACTTAAAGGACAGAAACAACTTTGTGTCTATAGGTAAATACACATCTGAGTTGACAAATATGACATGTGGGGTTCCTCAAGGCTCCATCTTGGGGCCTCTTCTCTTTAACATCTACATGCTACCACTGGCTCAGATAATGAAAAACAACCAAATAAGTTACCATAGCTATGCAGATGACACACACATTTACGTAATAATTTCACCAGGAGACTATGCTCCAATTCAAACACTGAGTAAGTGCATTGAACAAATCAATGACTGGATGTGTCAGAACTTTCTCCAATTAAACAAAGATAAAACTGAGGTAATGGTTTTGGAGCCAAGGCAGAACGTATAAAAGTTAGCGCTGAGCTTCAGTCTGCAATGTTCAAAACAACAGATAAAGCCAGAAATCTAGGTGTAGTCATGGACTCTGACCTGAGTTTCAACAATCACATTAAAACAGTTACTAAATCAGCCTACTATCACCTAAAGAATATATCTAGGATTAAAAGACTAATGTCACAGCAGGATTTGGAAAAACTTGTCCATGCTTTTATCTTCACTAGACTCGACTACTGCAATGGTGTCTTCACAGGTCTCACTAAACAATCTATTAGGAAGCTGCAGCTAATTCAGAACGCTGCTGCTCGAGTCCTCACTAACACTAAGAAAGTGGATCACATCACTCCTGTTCTGAAGTCTTTACACTGGCTTCCTGTGTGTCAAAGAATAGATTTCTAAATACTGCTGCTGGTTTATAAAGCACTGAATGGTTTAGGCCCAAAATACATTTCTGACCTCCTGCTAAATGATGAACCATCCAGATCTCTCAGGTCTTCAGGGACTGGTCAGCTTTCTGTCCCCAGAGTCAGAACTAAACATGGTAAAGCAGCGTTCAGTTATTATGCTCCAAATATCTGGAACAAACTCCCAGAAACCTGCAGGTCCGCTGCAACTCTGACTACTTTTAAATCCAGGCTGAAGACTTTTCTTTTTGTCGCTGCTTTTAATTGAACTATTCATATCTTAGACTGCACTGTAACTTTTATCCATGTATTTTTTATTTTAATGTTTAATTGAACTATTCATATCTTAGACTGCACTGTAACTTTTATTCATGTATTTTTTCTTTTAATGTTTATTTTATTAGCTTTTCTTTTTAATGACTGATTTTAAATGCCATTTTCTTAATGTCTTTCATTTTTTGTAAAGCACTTTGAATTGCCTTGTGTTGAAAAGTGCTATATAAATAAACTTGCCTTGCCTTGCCTTAATTGGTTGTGTTATCACAGAGGATGGTCTGAATACAGCATTTTACTATGAAATAATACAGTAACATGTTGTGAAATCCTGGTAATCATTTATCCTGTACATTCACAGTAATTAACAGTGCCTGCATTGATTTCATTGTGAAATTCAAAATTACAGTGTTATATTGTGAACATTACAGGTAAAGACTGTAAAGTGGTAAAACAGTAATTTATTGTAAAATATTACAGCTAAATATTGTGAAATCATGGTAATATTTTACAGTGTATAGCTGTGCTTTTTTTTAACTGAAAGCTATTAACAGGCATTACACTGTGCCTTGTCTTTTTCTTTTTTAGTGTAGTGGAGCCTTATGAAGTGACTGAGCTCGTGAACTGTCTACTGGAGGGCGGAGGGAGCCTCGCTGCGGGGCAACTGTGGAGCTCTGTCGTCCTCAGCGCAACTTACATGATGCCGTTTAAAAAAATTAAGGGCGGTGCCGGCCATGAGCGTATCGAGCCGGCCGTCAATGGCCCTCTGGCGACCGGCCGTTCTGTGGTTCTCCAAAACACATAGATGGCCAGTCCGACCCTGTATTCCACCGGGTCACCGCGGTGCAGACGGACCCGGTGGAATACAGGGTCTACCGCGTTTAGGAACCGTTAAGCAGAACTGAAATTATGTATTTTGTACGGGTACCCGGTACCCGGAATTTTCTTATCGGTTCTCATCTGGAACCGAGTTTCGGTTCCCAACCCTAGTCTTGTGTTGCACTGTTGGAGAAGCCTGTGACACAAGATTGTCTTCGACAGAAGTACACTGCAGCTATGTTCGTTTGACAAATAAAGAACCTTGAACCTTAACTACTGCATAAATGTGATGAAAATGGAAGATGAGGTCACAGTTACCAGAGTGTGTCCTTGTGCAGCGCTGATGTGTGTGTAGTCAGAGATAACGATGGCCAGTAAATAGGTGGACATGATCTCGGTGGGCTCGAACTTAGTGTGTGTCACAGATGCTCCACCAATGGTGATGTTAACAATGTCTGAAATACACAAAAACATAGTTCAACAGACTCTAATGACTGCAATCATTCATATAGCAATGTGAGGAACGATAACATTTACATTTTGTAAATCCTTCTGATAACTTTAGGTCTGGATTTCTCTGACAGCAGCTCTCTTTGCTCCTTTTCTATGGAAATCATAGAGATTGCCAAAGAAAATGTTTCTTGTTTACCATAAATTGCCACGTCATTAAAGTACCAAAAACTATCCAACCCAAGAAAAACCTTGGCCTTCAGAGAACCCTGAAGGGGGGAGGCGGGGGGGCACCCCTGCCTTTAATGAGCATCGTAAGATGTATCCATTAAAAATGAATATAAACAGTATTATGGGGATAGGTTTTCTCAGACAGGCATATATCTATCTATGCATGCAAGATCATGATTGATCATTGTAACTGTGGATGCTGTTTTCTATACATGTAGACTGCACTGACCTATTTCCTTGCCATTGGACAGGGCTACAGTTCCAGGGGGGTGGATGAGAGTTATATGGAAAACAGCTTTTAAAGCTGGTTCATCAAAACAAGGGAAGGTCTTTCTGGCATGAGTCGGATGCATCTGAGAGGTGGCAACGATCCTGAGAAGGATAAAAAACATTCTGAACATAATGTTGACATTTGAAATAACCCATACTGAGCTATAGATAATGCAAGACAGGAAATAGAAAACTTACTTTCGGACCCCATCTTCTTCATATTCACTCCGATAGAAGCCTGCCAAGTCATCAGCTAGTTCTCCGGTGAAGTTTGTGTACAGCTGGTACTTCTGTTTTCTAGTTAATTTACTATTCAGCTCAATGACAAGATACTGGGTCTCAGGCTGCATCCAGCAGGACTTAATGCTGGGAGCAGACCCACCACCTGAGGAGGGAATAGAACACATCATTATTAATGCTCAATTATTTGTTTTTAGGACAAATGTCTGTAGAACTTTATGATGTAAGACAGACACTAAAGATGTATTGGAAGTTGACCTTCGCTGAGACGCCGTACTGACACAGCCTCTGCCCAACAGCCTGTCCTCCTGCAAAAAACGACCAAATAGGTCGATTGTTCAAGCGCTTATTACGACCTATAGGCCCTGACACACCAAGCCGATTTCGGCCGTCGATAGATGTCTGGCCGTCGATTAGCTATTTGCCTGAATGGGAGTGGAGCAGTACAGTACTTAAAAGTCCCATGTCATGCTTTTCCGGTTATTACCCGTCCCCTTGTGTGTTATGAAGGTTTTTAAACGGTCTGCAGAGTCAAAAACCCTCAAAGTACACCCTGTAGCGAGTACAACTCTAACACAGAAAAGACCTGTCTATGCTGCCCCAGAACGCCTCGTTGGAGGTTTCTCATTTTCCATTGTTTTCTTCCTGGGCACTCTGACGTGGGGATACCCAGAGGCCACACCCTCTGCCAGCATTTCACGAAACAAAGCTTCACAAACCTTTCAGCGATTCATGCCAGATATGTACAGCGTAGGGCACTGAAGAACGATGCTGTTCCTACTTTGTTTGGACCAGTGGGAGATTCGGGTACACAACCTGTAAGTATTCATTGTTGTTTGTGTATTTATGATGTTTAAAACAAACAAGGTATCTGCCACGACTGTTTAAATGGGTAAACGTTTTTCGGACTTCTAAGTTGGGATCGCGGAGAAATGCTCTCCGCAGACCCATGCTTTCCGCAGACCCATGCTCACAGCGTTATAAACCTTTTTCTTACTGAATATCAAGCCACACTTATTGCTTTTACTTCGGCTGTGAGTGTTTGTGTGTGCTCAGGATGAGTTTAGCTTGTTCTAGCTGTATCGCCGATACGGAAGCCTGTCTGCTCCTCGCAGCTGCGAGCCTCTCACGTCGCGACCAATCAGAGCACACTGGGCTCACAGGGAGGGGGGGGCAGGAGCTCCAACAAGCCGTTTAGGACAGAGAGTGAATACACATACTATACAGGGATGCTGTATGAGAAACCAATGTGAGTTTGGAAAATTGCACAATATAAAACTATTCTAGTAACAAGTAGAAATGGCCATGACATGGGATCTTTAAGTAAATATACTTTGTTACTGTCCACAATCTGCCTAGAAATATTTTAATGTTGTAGCTGTTCAAGATGGTTATTTTAAAATGTTTTAAAAATATACTGTTTGTAGTAGTATAATAATGCTGGGCTGCAACTGACAGTTATGTAGGCCAATTTCTTTTTTTTCAACGCTGTGTGATTAAAAGAATAAACACAAATAGCAGGATAGGCACACATATTTGCTATATCTTGCCCCACTGAAAAGGCACTCAGGGCTCGAGCTTAAGGACGTCCCGTCGTCCCGGGGCCGAAAAAAATAGGGTCGGGAGGAAAAAAAATATTATTTTGGGACAAATTTGGGAAGACAGTTAAAATAAAAATAACCTGCTAACTCTATTACAAAGGGCGATGAAAATGAAACTGACTGCACGTTTTGTGTAGCACACATTGAACCTCCTTGTCAATAGAAACACACACGCACAAAACATTTAGCAACCCGCAAAATACACACACACACACACACACACACAGTAGCCTACGTAGCTACAGCTATGCCCGCGATTTCCTGGCCTGCGAATTTGCGGGTCTAGCTATGTACTGAGTGTGTGTATTTTGCGGGTTGAGTGATGTACAATGACAATGGCATCCCGTGGAGGAATTCTGCCATGTTTGACCGTTACATCACGAAAACGCACAGCAGAACCAGACCCTGGAGGGCCGGCCTCTTTATTTACTTACTTTACTTACTTCATCCCCTATGGGTAATAAGGCTGAGATGAGAACTCTCCATCGTATTTAGTCCTTAGCAATATGCTGCGCCTCTCCCCATGTAGGGATGGGTACAGAGCCCCGGTATTAAACGGGCCCCGGGCCGGAATTATTAAAGACAGTGGTTCCGTTAAGAGAGAGTGTGCTGGGGCGCCACTGAGGTGATGAAAGCTTGTTCGAGGGGCCCCCAGTGAATTTTTGCCTAAGGCCCCCACAGACTCTAGAATCGCTACTGGTAATAAGCGTTTGAACAATCGACCTATTTGGTCGTAATGAGCGCTTGAACAATCGACCTATTTGGTCATATGAGTTGGAGGACTTGTTGCAGCCCAACCAACTCGGAGCTTCTGACCCTAAATGGCTCCTTTTACCTGACGAGAGCCGGTAATCAAACCGTCCATCGGAAAGACATAACCAGGTAGGTTGTTTGCAGAGAAGTAGGCTCCAGAAGCCTCTTTCAGATAAGGCTATCTGAAGGAGAGAATGTTCACAGCCTTGCTTTATGCATATTCAGAAGCAAGAAGGAGGTAATCTCTTAACACATTTGATGAAGTAACTGAGAAAACAGGCGCCATGCTTATCGTCATTCAATATGGAGCCCATACAAAAAATCCTAACAACTGAACTATAATGTTGATTGACTTCTCGACTTAGGCTTTTATTTTTGAAATACCCCTTCCCCGGAATCCGCTTAATGTGTGGTAAAATCAAGTTGACTGTATGCTAGCATGAATGGAATAAAGAGTCCGCAACTGAACCTCCCTAAAGATTGTGTTCATCAGGGGCGTCGCCTGGACCTGGAAACATTCGGGGCTTAGCCCACAGTGGCGGCGCTACAGTCGAATATTCTACTGCAAGACTCCCCACACGCACATACACAATTGCACCATCTGGTGTCACAAACGTGTGCCTGCATTAGCTTTGTTATGGCAATGGATTGTGGGAGATTCTCATAGCACGTGAGGATCTCTTGAAGGTAAGGTGCCTGTATTATGTCGGTGGACAAAATGTATGTTTTTATTTTATAAGGACAATAACGTACTGTTGTGTTTGTTTAGTTTAATGTTAATTGTTTAATGCTCACAGTCACAGCAACTTGTTTTTTGTGTGATTGGCTATTTGTTTTATATGATTTATCAACGTGATCATCAATAGCTAATCTGAGCACCAGAACCCAGCTCACGAGTCCTTTTATGCTGTCCATTGAAATATAGGTATGTGAGTTTTGTACACCAGTTTATTTATGTTTAATGTTTCACATTGCTCCACATGATGCCTGGACTACAAAGTCTTCCATGTTTCTACACTTCTTCCTCTGTGTCACAGTTTCGGGAATATCAAGATCATTGCACAGGGCCTTGGTCTTGTCATAGACCTCATGTGCTTTCTCGTTACTTCGGTAACTTTTCAGTGTGTTCTCAACTGCTGTTTTGTAATCCACTGCCTGCACCAAGTCAAGTGTTTCTTTCTGCAGGTATGTGTGCAGGCCCTGAGTGGTTGAGAGCAGTGTCTGGAACATGACAAGCATGTAGATGGTACTGAATTTTCAAAGCTTGCTTTCCAGTCCCTTTGCTAGAGGGGCTGAAAGGCTCCCTAAAGTCTTGATCAAAGCAGGGAGGTTTTTGACATGCCCAGCGAACAAGTTGTTTGTCCCCTACCTCTAGCTGTTTCTGAAATGTTTGCAATCTCTGATGGTGGACAAGAGATGTGGAGAAGAAAGAGTCGAGACACTCCAGGAGATCAACGCAGGTATGTGAGTTTTGTACACCAGTTTGTATAAGTTTAATGTTTCACATTGCTTGTGAAAAATATACTACCACTATACGATCACTGATGTTTTGTTGTTGACTGGACACTTATTTTGTAAAAGAGATAGCATGAGAGGATCTCTTAAGCAATGCAGTTCACGTGTCCTTTATATGCTGTCCATTGAAATGCAGGAAAGTAATCAGCTCTGAGTGATCTGTTGCCGAGGGGACACTACACCGGAGTTACATAAGCAGAGATAAAGTGCTATTTTGGGGGGAACTCACCTCCCCCAGGAAGATTTTTTTTAAATATTGAAGTTAAAAGCATCAATCTTGTGCACTTTGAGAGCAACATTAAGAGATATGGATACATCTCTCAACACCCATATGTAAAAAAAAAAATCTCAGAATCAGAAACGGGTTTATTATTTAAAAACACTTCATTTTCCAATTAAATCATAAATTATGTCAAATTATTAGAAGTTGTTAGAAATCAGATTAAACAGAAAAAAGGGATGGAAGGAGGACATAATAATCCCTCATCACTTGCTGCATCCCTCATCACTTGCTGCTTCCCTCATCACTTGCTGTTTGCGGTTGAAATGATCTATTTTGCTGGCCAAACATGCTGGATGGAAAGCAGTGATGTCTCACTTGCCTTGGCCCTGTATCTGCAGTCCCTAAATAAGTCACTCTTGTCTGTTCTGGTGTTCCTGTTCATTATTGTCTCCATTGTCGTTCTTGTCTGTTGTATCTCCTTCTTGTGTGTCCATTTCTCCTGTTCCCCTTTCTTCATCCTCCACTCTGTTTGTGTAAACACAAACAAGTATGTAAGTCAATCAGTTTCCAGCTCTGTCAAATAAATGAATTTCAAAATACACACATTTGTCTTCATTAAAATGAGTGTCACCACACTGTCACAAAATGTAATACTAACCAATTGAAAATAGTTACATTTACATTGGAAACCTCTTGTAGATATCAATAAGAGTAGTTATCTGCCAATAGGACAGAATCATTCCTATACAAATGCAGTTTGAGTAATTAACTTAATATATTCACTTAACACTTTAAGTCATGTTCACTTAATACTCTAATATAGTCATATTTCTGCATTCAACACTAAGGAAAGCTGTACAATTTGACATGATAATGAGGAAAAACGGCCTCCGACAATGCAGATAATTTTTTGATGATATCAATTTTAAGATGGGGGTCAAGGCTTAATATTTGGGAGCATAGTGTCCCTTGCCCCCTTTCAGGAGCCACACTGGATTAGCTTTGATCTGAAATATTCGTATAAAAAGCTTGTTAGCTGGCTGTTCATCTCAT